TAACCATCATCGCCGACATGTGTAAAGTCTTTCAACTCAACGCATCAGCTACCACATTCGCTTTTCCTGGATGATAATTCAAACTGAAATCATAATCCTTTAACAGTTCCAACCATCTTTGTTGCCTCATATCCAGCTCCTTCTGATCGAATAAATGCTTTAGGCTCTTATGGTCACTAAACACTTCAAATCTAGAACCATAAAAGATAATGCCTTCAAATCTTCAACAAAAAGACAACTGCAGCTAGCTCAAAATCATGCGTAGGATAGTTCTTCTCATGAGTCATCAACTTCCTTGACGCATAAGCAACTACCTTATCATTATGCATAAGCACACCTCCTAAACCCATCTTAGAAGCATCACAGTATACCACAAAAGGCTCTCCTGGATTAGGCAACGTCAAAATCGGGGTCGATGTCAATCTCTTCTTTAATTCTGTAAAACTTTCTTCGCACTGAACATCCCACACAAAAGCTCTACCTTTACAAGTCAACTTAGTCAACGGAAGTGCCAACTTAGAAAAACCTTCGATAAACCTTCTATAGTAACCAGCTAATCCCAAAAAGCTCCTAATCTCAGTAGCTGACTTCGGAGTTTTCCATTGTAACACAACATCAACCTTCAATGGATCTACAGTAATGCCACTACCTGAGATCACATGACCAAGAAAACTAACCTCATTTAACCAAAATTCACACTTAGGCAAATTTGCATACAACTTCTTATTTGACCATGCATATTAGTTACATATACTATCAATTTCAAAAAGCATTATTTCCTCCATCATGTTGACCAGATCCTTGTATTCATTTTCATGCACCATTCTGCCCTGAACTTTATCTATGGTTTTAAGGATATTATTAAAGTCCCCTATAAGACACCAAGGTCCATTTTTCTTTTTATTCTTATCCACAATATTGTTCCTTAATGTTCTTTTTTTATCTATCTGTTTATATACATAAATAGCAGTAATCCAATAAAGGAATTTACCACTCAGATCATGGATGTTATAGTGTATCATATCTGCAGTAGTGTCAATAAGTTTGACATCCACTTTTCTATTATCCCACGCAATCCAGATACGACCATTATCATGCTTGGAGTAATTATTTAAGTAGTTACCTCTAAGCTTTAACTTCTCTCTGATCTTGGAAGCTTTGTCCTTCTTTACTCTAGTCTCAACTAAGACCACAATTTAAGGTTTAAGACTTAATAGATGGGAGCTAATGTCTCGAGTCATACCAATTTTATTGAGCCCCCACACATTACAAGCAACAACCATGAGACTTTTTCTTGGATCACTAGTGGATCCTTCCAAATCCCTAGTGCTCAAACCCATTTTCGCAAGTAAGCTTTGGTGTTGAGTGATCCATCAAAACTCCTTTACCCTTGTCCCTGCAATTCTTGTTCACTTTTTTCTAGGTCACCTTCCTTGGTTCCTCTAATAGGGGTAATGACCATGTATTATGTGTTGTTGTGTGTGCTAGGTCCCATATGCTTCTCGGGCTGAGTATTCTTTGGTTTCCAATTGTTACTTTTCTGAGGGGAGTTTTCTCACACTCTTATTTAACTGTTTGGAATATTTCACAAAACTTTGGCTTCCATTTATATTCCATAACCTGCTTCAGTCGATTCCCTGCAATATCTCTGATTGTGATGTCCTTCGACAACTCCTGTGTTATATCAATCTCCAACAAGATTCTAGCATATGAAACTCTTAGCTTATTTGATGTGCACTCATCAGTGACTATTGGTTTCCCTATGGCGCTCCCAATTTTACTCAGACTTCTAGCTCCCCACAAGTGAAGAGGTAATTGGGGAAACTTCACCCATATTGGGATTGTTTTGATCATATCTCTCTTCAGGCAAAAATCTGGTTTCCAATCCCTCAAAAGCATGGTCATGTTGTGTATTATGTATGGACCTTTCATCAGAACAACTTCCTTGTCTTGAAACGAGTCGAAGTTCATGATAAAATAAACTTCATCCTTGAAGTACAGATTTGGTAGCTTCACAAAATTCCAGGATTTGATCACAAATTGTTTGACAGTATTCATACTAAACTCTCTACCAAGCACATACATAATCAGAGTAGATTCCTAGAATTTTACCGCTGATTCAATATCAGCTTCTTCTATCTCAATTTAAATTTCTTTCTCTACCATCTTAGGTGAAACGAATCGGATGGTCATCCCATTCTCTGGATTTCAATTCCCGCTTAATACATTCACCATTTTCTTTGATTCTCCCTCTTGAATGTTCTCATTGTTATTCTTCTTGGTTGATTATGGCGTTAGGGTTTGAGATTCCTTGAATTCCCTCTCCATTGTTTCAATTTCTTTCATAGAGGTTCCTTTGATTGTTGCTTCTTCTTCTGCATCATCGTCCCCCGGAGTAGGGTCCTCCCGCCGATTAATGTGAATTTCTGGTGGCGGTAGCACCATTTTTCTCGGCCGCCCCCTCCCCTTGTCATATTAAATATTATTTTTATAGAACATTATTTTTATAAAGCATATTAACAAATTTTTAAAAATAAAAATTATTATTTTTCATTTTAGTTAACAAAGCAAGACAAAAAAAAAAGACAGAAAATATCGGAAAGCTCACACCTCCTTCATGCGAACCCTAGCTAGTCACTATAGTGTTTCCTTTGGAATATGTTAGGTAGTGGAGTGTTTTGTATATTCTTGCTGATTTTTTTATTCTTATATTTTTTTGTACTTCTTGTGCTTTATAATACATGTGCTTATATAAAAACGTTGGTTGTTGCAGCGACAAATAATAGGGAAATAACATTGTTTTGTTGACGAGTTCGATTAAAAAAATTTCAAAATTTGCTAGATAAGCTCTATGTTCAACTATCAATGAGTTTTTTTTTTTTAAATATCACAAGAAATTAAATATCATTTAATGAAGCTAAACACCCCCTAAATTTTTTTTCTACCTCTCAACCCTTAATAATTTTCACTCTAGACATCAATATAAAAATATTAAATCATCTTCCAAGATGACTGCATACTGTTGCCTAGTCCAAAAAGCTCCTAAAATCAAAATCTCCTTCCTATCTAAAGCGTTTTTTCAAAATTCTGATTTTCTATCATATATATAATGTATATTTGTGAAAGAAAAAATGAATACATACTTCTCTTGAGACTAAAACAATTAAGAACAATAAAATATTTAAAATATTTTATTTAGTTATCAACTTATATCGTTTTACATAATTAACTTCTCGTACTTTTTTAAGAAACTTATATTGTTAAATATATGAAAATATATTTATTTTATACTCATTAATTTAAAGAAAAATGCTTGAATATAAAGTTAATATAGTTTAAATATTACTTGCTCATAAAACTAGTATGCAAAAGATTTTGTTTATGTCAAGTTACTAAACAATGGGATGGGATAATGTAAGTAATAACTTTGAATTAAATTTAATAAAACTCAGACCGCTTCAAATATTTTTGTATATAAAACATACAAGTTATTACTAGTACGTATAATAATTTGAAAATTATAATCATTTATATTCATTCATTTTCATGTGCACATTCACACACGGAACTACGAATGCAATGTAATAAATTTCCACACTTGAAACAAATTTTGTAGTCGTTGAGTCAGAGTGTAAAATTAAAATCAAAGAAAAGATTAATGCTTACACAATGCGGAGATCGTTATAATTCTGTCACTATCTTTGATTAACATATATAATAAGTTTTCCTTTTTCAACAAAATATGTGTGTTTTGACTTGATTCATGCCTTTCACATCAATATTTTAGAATCATGACATGTAAACACTAGAATTTTGTTGTGCTTATATTTATCCAGAAAAAATTAAAAGTATTGGTAAAAATAAAGATAAATTGTATATTTTTAAATATATATTATTTTATCAGTTAGAAATTGTTAATAGAGAAAAATTAATTAAGGTGTTATAACTAATAAAGAATAAATATTTATGGATATGTTTTAAAATGAAAAGGAAAACTAGTAAGTGAGTAAATGAACAGTGTTCTATTTGGTAGGTGATAAGACTTATGATATCAGAGCAAAGTAAGGAAAAATATTGAATAATATTTTGTTGAAAGAGTTACGGTGAAAAATTGAGAAGACTAAACTATTGACAAATTTGACTCACAAAAAATTTAAGAAGTCACCATCAAACTTTATTATTTCTAAGAAAAAGGAAAAAGATTGAAACCATATTATTTAACATGCAATGCAAGGAGTAAAGACTAAAAGCAAAGTATAAGGAAGAGATCCAAGGTATAGGGGTTGGTTATACAAAGAGAATGTATTAGCATCTATGTATATATAACTCTATAAGAATCACTTATAATAGTTTTTGGTTTAAAATTGTTTGTTTGTTTAAATGGACGTGGAGATGGGAAAAGAAATATATTTTAGGATATTTTTGTTTGGAAAGACATAGTCTTATACCTATGTATCAATTAAGGATCAAAACCTCGTAGTTCGTGGTAAAATAATAAAATAGTTTGTTGTGGTTGATTTTAGGAGAAGAGCTATTTCATCGTCTTTTAGAGATAAAATCTTGTGTGTTCTCTTCCTTCTCAATCTTTTATCTTCTTATTTATTACAAGTTTTTTGTTAACAGTTGTTGCATTTTTCCTGATTGAATATTGAATTGGAAGTGATTACTGATTTTTTATGTTTTCTTGTATTTGAGTTAGTGACCTTTTGATGTGTTTGAATTTTGATCTGTCTTGTAATGAAGTGTGTACTTTGTGGAATTTTGTTTTAAAAACATTTTGATGTTTTTGCTCTATTGTGGATAAAGTTTGATCTATGATTACGCGGTGGCTGTTATTTGATTTACTCGGATGTATGCAAAATTTGTTCTATTTAGATCAAGTTTGTTTTGGGGAAATTAAAGAGTGGATTTGTTATGCCCTACAGCCCTAGTCCTGTTTTAGTTTCACACATTTGATAATGATTTGGTTTGAATCTGAATTGTGCTTATAAGTGGGTGACATGACAACCTTCGCCTTACAAACCAATTTTGTAAGGTTGGATTAGGACTAATCAAATTTGTAGGAATGGGAATGGTCTCAACTGAACTTATAAAGTAGGAAAATTTACTTTATCCTTCAATTAAAATAGAAGAGCTAGGGTGAGATTTGTTAATTTTGTTTCCTTGTTTCAAAAGAATGGATAGACTGTAAAATTTAAATTTGATATTCTACCCTCCTGCATTGTGTCAGCAACTAAATGGAGCTGAAGAGGGAAGTTTGACAAAGAAAGCCATTCTCAGGTTAATATGTTACTTGATTATGGTTTACTGACGCATGCATTGTATATTTAATGTCAGAGGCATATATACACTGTATTATGTGAGATATTATAATACCTAGCTTAAGTAAGGCATTAGATAGTGAATTGTTATGAAGAAGATTTTAGGGTTCTTGGAGAAATGTTTGCTATGAAGCGGGTATTGGCCCTAAAAGGGTTCAGGAAATTATAGAAGTTGTGGACGGTAAATTATTTTCTTGTTTCATTTGATTTTATATAAAATGATGTATGTTAAAGTTATGTTTTGGAATTCCTTTAGATATATTATTCCTACTGTTTTTTAATGAATTTTTACAAAAATTAGAAACACCAAAAAAAGGAACTCAACAAGAAAGAGTTCAAAAGGTTGATCACAATTTGGACAAAGAGACTATTGCAAAGAAAATGGAGATAGACAAACTCTCGCAACCAAAAGTAATGAAAGATCATGCACATGGTGACAAAGAAGTTGTACAAGGTAAGTGATTTTTAAATTTTTCTATTATGCATATATTACATGAAATTATTCCTAATATCTTTTGGTGAATTTTTACTAAAATTAGAAACACCAAAGAAAAGAACTCAAGTGAAAGCTACAGTGAATAGAGAAAGAATTCAAAAGGTTGATGGAAAATTGGACAACCACATTGCTATGAAGAAAGCAGAGAGACCTAAGCTTTTGCAACCACAAGCTAAGGAAGTTCTTGCACATGGAAACAAAGAAGTTTCACAAGGTAGTTAATATCCCTGCATATACTTTAAATTTATGTTATAGTATCAAAATGGTTGTTAATGTATGCAAAAATTTGCAAGTAGTGACAACACCTAGAATAAAGTAAGTGGTTGAAATTGTTTAAGTAGTGACAACACCTAGAAGTGGCTGAAACTATTTTATTTGTGCGAGCTTTCATTGATATTTCATAAACATACTTGCCTGGGATAAGATTATGGGACCCCCTTGTTTGATAACACTCACTATGTATGCTGTAAATTTATCCATATGATACTGAACACCAAAGAAGATACAACAAGTAAGAGTGTTCATCAGAGTTCATTTACTCCAAAAAATAAACATAAAAGGATAGCACAAGTTATACATACATACATACATACAGTTAAAGGCTATTGTAAGTCCTGAATAGTGAGCCAAAAACAGAATGGTTTTCATAATTGATTTATTTGCTAGTAAGCTCATGTCACCTATTACAGTTTAGAACGAAAATTCACATTCATTAAAAACCTTCATAATTAATTCACATCCATGAGATGTGAAGAATATAAACAATGTGTTTTGCCCATTGGTTTAGTTTTTATTTGTGCGAGGTTTAATTCTTGTTGATGTCTTAATTGTCCTTTGGACCAAAAATAATTATGGTTAATGTGTTTTATTTTATTTTCTTATGCAGCAATGTATCAATGAAGATGTTGAAAAGGAAGATATAAATGATGAAATTCAAGAGGACGACATAAATGATAAAATTCAAGAGGACGACCTAAATGATAAAATTCCAGAGGACGACGTAGATGACGAATTTCAAGAGGACGACATAGATCTAGATGATGAATTTCAAGAGGAGGATATAGATGGTGAATTTCAAGAGGACGACGTAGATGAAGAATTTATGGAGGATGACATATCTAACGAATTTCAAGAGGACGATCTGGATGCTTTACTCCTAGAAGACAAACTTGAATGAGTTGGATGATGTCTTTTTTTTTGGCTTGTAGTTGAAAGAATTAAACTTGAAATATGATTTTTATTCTTTTGCTGAAATATGTTTTTAGTTATTTTACTAGGGTCATACTTCAAAGTATTAAAAGTAATATTGTTACATTAGGCATTTTGTGTACTCTATATACTATATCTTGAATTAAAGTTTGAACTCGATTTTATTATATTACAACTTTTATGGATGTATGGTTTAAGTTATATAATCAATATTATTTTTGAAGCCAATTATTATTGACTATATTATTTTGATAATAATTGCAAAATTGTATATTTTATATGGACACTATAAAACAACAACCTATAAGCTATGGCTACACTTCAAAAACGATCTTCCTGATTCAGGTTTAAGGCAACGATTGTTAATTGTAGCCGAATTTGGCAACGCTTAAAAAACGTTGTCTCAGAGGCCGTAAATAATCGTCCCTTATTCCTTTACTATAGGCGACGTTTTTCAAAAGCGTTCCCAAAAAACATAAAAAAACGTCGCCTCAAACAATAGGCAACGCTCGCACAGGAGACGCCTAGAAAATGTCCCCTATTGTTTTAGGCAACGATTTTCAGAGTTCTGGAAATGTTTTTCAATTGTTGCTGGAGAGCCTAAATGTTGTAGTGTAATACCACCACGAGTATGAGAAGATGGATCTTGCATCATTATGAAGAAATAGCTACTAACTTGGATATAAAGATCAACAAGTTGCCAATTGTCTTCATTTGAAAAGAATCATATTTGCTTCAATAATTATTATGGGGATAGGAGAATCATATCTCAACTATGAAGATGATTTATATCTATTTTTTTTTGAGAAAATATTATAAATTGAAAAGTCAAGTGGCAAAAAGATTTGAGTGTGGTTGAATCACGTTTAGTCTTTTGAAATTGTTTTGATAAGCTTAAGTATATTTAAAGCATTTTTATATTAAAAAATAATATTTAAAAATGCAATGACACAAAGTCAAGATTTTTATATGAAAGTGGTGAAGATTTGAAAAAGATTTTTTAGGATTAAAATGTTCCTTAGAGTATATTAGAATATATAGGGTGAATATTCATAAAAAAGTTTCTTTTTATACAAAGGGTAATGCATATGCACATGACTTATAAAGTAAAAAAAAAAATCTCTTTCCCTTAGATTTTTGACACATGTACTAATTATGTGAGGTAATGAACATACACAAACATCATTTAAGCAAGGGTCAAAACATGGCATGTTAGACAAATTCAAATTGGGAATAATTAAGAAATCAACAAGAAAGTCTTAAAAGAAAGTATAAAAGACATATTTTTAGATTTTTAATAAAATAAATCAAATAAAACATTTTTTTTTGATATTTTTCAAATATTATCAAAATACACACATAAATCAAGTAGCATGCAAAAAATCTAGTCAAAAGGAGTGGATTTGCTCATTTAAAATCAAGTTGAAAGTTGAAGAAAATGTTTTGAAAATGAATGGAAAGACAAATAATGAAAAGAATTTTTTTGAGAAAAAGCTTCAGGAAATCAAATTCGTAAAATGAGGAAATCGATTTCTCCTTTGTTGCAAGCCTAAAACAAAAGTGCTGGATAACAAAATATTGTTGTGGAAATCTATTCCCTAATATGGGGAAATTAATTTCCCCTCTACTGCAGGCAAAAAACAGAATCTTTGGAATACACAAATAGTTCAGGAAATCGATTCCGCTGTTTTAGGAAATCGATTTCCCGCACGAAATTTCTAACTTTCCTAGTTTTAAACACATTGTAACTCGGTGGGAGAACTGACTTGGTTGTTTTGCGTTTGATCGTAAATGTTACGGTTTAACAAGAGTCGCCACCAACTTTTCTTTTATCCAAAAGGAAAAGCTGAAAAGAATAGGAAAGACCTTTGAGATTGTTTCTTGAGTTCGGGGGGGTAGATTATTAAAAGGGAATGTATTTGCACCCTTTTAATTCATGGTATTCCATGGGCTCTTAGTTTCTTGCTAGATCACTTGCTTTTGTTTGAAAATGTGCTTTGTGTGGTTTTTGGAAGTATTTTGAAAATGTGCCATCGTTTGGGCAAATTTTGTAATGATTATCGTTCGTAAGAATATATACAAAGTGTTGATCTTTTGAAAATGTTTTCAAGTTTATAAGATGTTTTGAAAGTGTTGGTGTTTGTTTTGAAAATAGCAAGGATGTTTTGGTTTTGAAAATGAGCAAGCAACTAGGAATAATCTACCTACTCAAAAGTCTTTCATGTTTATTTCCTCTTTCCTTTGACATTGTTATCTTACCATTGATTTGGTAAGTGACCCTATCTTTGGATGTAAAAGGGACGGGCAAGGGTCATCGTATAACCATGATTAACAATGTTGTAAGATAACTTAGCATTTTCTTTAGGGACTGAGATCATTTTGAAAGGCAACATGGATAGCATCATCGAGGGACTATGATCATGTATTTTTTGTTTGTTTTTGCTAAGATACCTCACATGCATAATATGGCGATATTTGTAAGGCAACCAAGTGGCACTACGCCAAAGAATACCTAAGAAAGCACTTTTTTTACCCTTTAGCAGCGCTTAAAAGCGCTGTCTATGGTGGCGCTGCTATAGGTTTTAGCAACGCTTTTTGTTTAATGAAAAGCGCTTTCGTAGGTTTACCTAATACAACACTTTTTCTAAAAAGCGCTCTCTTAAGTAGGCTTTTGGCAGCGCTTTTTTATGAAGAAGCGCTTTCATAGGTCTACCTAAGACAGCGCTTTTTTCTGGAAAAGCGCTCTCATAAGTTTTTTTTTAGCAGCGCTTTTTTCTGGAAAAGTGTTGTCTTAGATAGGCTTTTAGCAACGCTTTTTTCTGGAAAAGCGCTTTCATAGGTGGTCTTTTAGCAGCGCTTTTTCCTGGAAAAGCGCTGTCATATGTTTACCTTAGACAACGCTTTTTGTGAAAAAGCGCTTTCATAGGTTACCTAAGGCAGCGTTTTTCTTGAAAAAGCGCTTTCATAGGGTTTTTTTTAGAGGTATAATTTATATAATTCATATACCTGCATTGTTTGCAGCATATTATTTATATAAACCAGTTGCCATAACCTGTAATTCATAAACCGCAGTAATGCATTGTATACCATTGTAATCCAAAATATATATACACCATTTTTGTACCTCAAAATATATAAAAACCATTGTTATCAGCATTGTAACTCAAAATCAGTCTTACAAAATCAACCCTAACAACAACTAAACCAGTCCTAATGTATGAAAGAAACACAGTCAATTATGTATTAAAGTCCTGGTCCTGCGAGGTTTGAACATAATAACACGGTCAATATGGTATTCCATGTACACATGTAACGTATTCATAACACTTTTCACATAATAATATATTCATACCTTATATGATTCTCTGCTCAATAAAATATTGACACAATTCCTCTTTGATTTCTTCCAACTGAAGTTTCGTATAATATGCACATTTGTATTCATCGAAGTACTACATAACAAAACATAATATGCATGATTTAGTTAAAAGTAAAAAATTATATGAAATATCCGAGAAATAATAAAAAAATCCTAAGTTATAAATCCATACCGTGACTGGAATCTCTATTTGATTCAGTTGAAGGATTTCTTTGATAAACCGCATAACGAAGTATCCACAATCTATACCGTTTTGCTGTTGAGGACACTACATAGAAAAACAAATAAGAATATATAGTTGTATTGTTTTATCAAATAGAATAAATATTATAAGCAAAATAGTGGAAATTAATATACCTGCACTTTGATCCAATTAATGTTGTTTGATTTAGACCGTCGTACCCGAGCTTCTCTTTGACACCGGAATACTTTTATCGCTCTAACAAAATAAAAATATATATTTAGAACAATGTCACAGAAATAATTAAATATATAAATACAAACAAATATTTAGAATAATCTCACTTACGTATCAATCATTAACTTCATATCCGGATAATTTGTCCAATCACCGTCAACCGAATTCAGATAATAGACCACTTCTTTTATAGGATCGATAGCAACCAACAACCAGTGACGTCTATAAATTAAAACAACAGTTTAGAAGAAAATTTTCTACGCAAAAATTACAAATATTAAAATGAACTTAGAATGAAAATATAACCCTATAGGAATAGTATTATACTCCCAAAGATATAAGCTTTCTGTACTGCCAGTTGCCATGAATCTTTCGACTAAGTGCTCTCTTACTGAATTCGGTTCCCTACCAATTGTCGCTCCGCTGACACGGGAGGAAGACACGAAATGGAATCTGTTTGAACATTGATTCCCGCGAATCAATTTGTCATATAACAACCTTAAATAAAAACATAATTAATATTAGACTATATTCATTGAAATGTTTAAAAAAAATTTCAGCTAATTACATAATAAAAAGATGAGGTTTCCGGATGTATGTGTGCATAATACTGACGCCTAATTCTTTATGATAGAAAATCTCTTCCACGTCCTCATGTCCAATTATTTCGGTGCAAGGAAAACCAAAGATACCTTGATCCATATCCATTTGACGAATACCACCATCCATCAAATCTGTTGTTCCCACTATTGTTTCAAGACACTGCCGGTATCGAGGGAAAAATCTAGTTGGAACCCTTTTCTTGGGTGGTACGCCAACAATTTCTCTCTTAGGAACTTACAAACCATAAGTAGGAAAACTGAGAAATGGTAGAAAAACATAATGGTAGCAACTTAAACTCATCTTTTCATCCAATACCTTTACAAAATAATGAGTTGAACCATCCCTCATGAATACAAAACTCAAACAAATACATTAAAGCAGAGAAATGCAACAAACAGAAGAAAAAAAACACAAATAAAAATGAGAAAATGTAAGTTATCCTGGAAAGTAGCTGCTACAACAACTCAAAATGAAAAGACATGAGCATATTACTGGTTTAAGGTATTTGAAAACAAAAGACACGTTGAATCATGTGGTGAGACATTATTAGTTATAAAACAATGAAGAC